TCGCTTGCGTCGTTGGACAGATCTTTTCTTAAATTGGATAATGAAGAGTTGTTGTGAGATTCCATTCTAATTTTAGTTAAAATCGGACATAATTAGCGGACACTTACCACGAACATATTAGTCACCGAGCTTGCCAAGGAGATTATGTAATCTGAAAGTCCGTTATAACGTTAACAAAAATCGCTACTGGACTATAACCTGAGCCAACTTAAACTAGTCCATGGTATCATAACCTATTTATTTAAGATGTATTCGGTCCTTAAATTTTGCCAATCTGTAAAAAATAGGGGATCAGTATAGAATTTCCTAATATGCTATTATCTTTAGTGTGAGAAATTGTTAGTTGCCTGCGCAACTCTAAGGTGGAGGACCATCCAATATCGACTGCTTATTCAGTTCTTCTATCTGGGAACAGTTTACTTCCTCCTGCGCCTGACGGCACCCTGCCAGGTTGGCAAGAGGTTCTCTTATTCTTACTCTTACTCTCGTAGGTACCTAGCAAGACGGTCCTAACTGGATCTGTAGATAAGAGCTAGTGGCTATTATCCATGATGTGAGAGAGTTACTGGTGTTAACGGCGCTGATTGATTCACTTGCCAGCAGTTGATTAATTGCATAATGGTGTAACGTGACAGGTCACGAGTAAGGGGTGTTAGCCTTACAGACATTGTCATCTCGTATGTCGTAGATGTGCTGAGGTGATAACGGCCAGGCACACCTTTACTCCTTTGTTAATGTTGAATTGCTCGTCATATTCAACAGAATTAACATGTGTTAACTCGATTCAGAGTTTCTCTGTGTGGTCTTAAAATTCAGTGAGTAGAGGAAATATATAATTACAATGTCACGTAAGTCCACGGGCTTTATCTCCATAAATATTCAGTCTCTTTTGAGAATAATTCATTATCTTAACTAAAAATACCAAAATAAAATTTATTCAGATATTTCACATGAATTCCTCAAATCGATCACCATATTTCTATAGTTATAGCCTATTCACAGTCTAGCACATGTCCAATGAATAATTGTTCCGGCTTCGTCTGGCCATTTGTCAGTCCATCGCCATCCCAATGAGCAGACATCCCTTGAGATTTGTAATATGGTGATGGATGATGGGTAAATGAATATTTATGAAATTCGGAACAATTATAATTGCATCCTGTGTAGTTTACCAACTACTACGAAATATTAAAGGATATGAGGGAGGTAAATGTAGCCCGGAGAGGGATAATACTTATTTGTATAGGGAATTTTCATGGAAAAGCTTATGAAATATGACGACTTAGAAGGCCGAGGAGTTATGAGGATAAAAAATAAAGCTATCCCTGTGACAGGCCGTGGAGGCCCATTCGAGACTCCCACATTTTCTAGAAAATCGGCTCACAAATGGCGGTGAGGTTGCTGGCCTTACGCGCCGGCCGCCATTTACACCCCAGGAAGATTCCTGGTACTCATTTCTCTTAGAGGCTGAGTCGATCCCAGGGCCATAGTGCGGCTGGAAGGTTTAGATAAATAAAAAATCTAATGACCTCATAGAGAATCGAACCCGCCACATTCCGGTTCGTATTATAATGCCTCAACCAACTACGCTACCGCGTACCTCCGCATAATACTAAGATAAATCTTTTTGCGGCAGATTGTGAGGTAGAGGGTGAGTGGAAATGGTTGAGGCTTGTGTCCAATGGCTGGGTTTGGTGTTGTCAATGTTGACCCTTCGAATTCGGCTGCCGTGCACTGAATAGATTTACTGGTTTATTTTAGAAGGCTGTAAGTATATAGACTATACAGCGTCATATTATAGAATAATTGATGATGGATGAATTGGAAAGGATTTTGAAGAAAGAATTCAGGGACAAGTTGAGGTACTATTCCTACATTTATCAAGAGGAACTGAGGGTAATCACGTCAAACCCAGTCACGGTAAAGAGATTTCCTGACTGAGAGCCGAAGCGAGCAGTTGCCGACACAAGCAACCCTCCCAAACCGAAGTCTAGAGCGTTATATAGACAGTGTCACGTAACTTCGAACAAGGCCCCGCATTCCTAGTCAAATCCCGCTCATATCTTGTGGTGGGAGGAGTTTCTTAACGCTCGTTCTTTCACTTTCACCGACCCTCGAACCCACACCCTTGTCTAAAATTTTTCTTCTGCGCATTCAAGGTTACTCTTGGCCTTGTTCGAAGTTACATGACACTTGCTAGCAGCTCATACCTTGGAGGAGAGTTCTTCTCGAACAAATGATGGTTGCTCACCAGGTCAGGGAATTCTATACGCAGATCTGGCAACTCCTGCTGTTTTTGCGGCCACAATAACGTTGTTATTATCCCATTAATTATATAGTAATTTATTCGTCATTATTCCTGCTATCATGATACTCTACCTCCGCAAGTATAACTATCATATCGCAAATCGAAGTGTTAGGTTAGGTACGGAGTTTCGGGCGTTTCTATGAGCCCTCTACTTTAATCTCCTTCATGGGAAGCATTTTTATTGAGGACTCTTTTGGAATTAAGCAAGAAGTGGAATTTTACAGCTAGTGGAAAAATTGATTGCGTACTCTCACTAGGGACAGTTGATCGTGTTTTAACGACTCCTCCGCCCGATCGATAAGGTGAAGTCACCATTCGAGTATTTCGGATAAGTGCCCAAGAAGGGAGAGCGTGGTTTCTCAGGAAGAAAGGACAACAATGCGGTGTTGGGTACTGGACCTAACACTTCATATCCAAGTAATTACTCAGCAATGGCGGGTGGAACTTTGAAGCAGAAGTGTTGATTTACCAATAGTATACGTGTTTCTGCTAATTCTGATTTAACATTTTCGCTTACAGGGCTAAGGTTTCGAACGCATACGTCAGTCCAACTTACACATTGTCTATATTAACTTAATTATTTAAATTATAACATGTATATCATGTTTTTCCGTCGCTTCCAAAAGCTCCGGTTCCCCATTTGCTACCATGTTTAGATAGTACTGGGTTACCTAACTACTTATGAACGTGGTTACGATTTTCGAGCATCCGAAATTAGGAACTTTATTTTATATAGTCTTAGTATTTTTATTCAACCTTAGGTGGCTGACAACAAAACAAAAGAATGGATCGTAGATTACGTAAGAAATGTATTGCAGGCTATAAAAGACAAGAAAATAGGTTTCCTCAAAGACTTACTTTTGCAATAGGCAGCCGAATTTGAGATGTGACTCGTAATTGTTTACCTTATATAAGGACATGACTTGATGTTGACTGCTGAGAACTATATGATTATTTTGCACATATTCATGTAGCTAATATTTTTCAAATAAGAAAGTTCCATCTTTATAAGAAGTAATAATTTTGCACGTACAGCAAATCTTCTCTTATTCATTTCATTTTATTATGGTTCCTTTTGTAAGTCACATTTCTTGAAAAGATCATGTTACCTATCCGAAATAATTAACCACTCCTATCAGATATTTGGTTACCATTTTCGCAGATCTTTCCTATACATCTTTTTAGATTTTATTATTTTTAAGACAAGAGCATGCTGCATTTGAAATCGTAATAAGTACTAATTATCATACTAGACATATTAATGTATCTGAATGTAACAAAGTACTAATGGTTCACGATTCTAACAAAAAAGAAAAATATCCTGCCTCAAGTATTCGAAATATGGAGCCATTATTCTAATTGCTAACTTGTTCTTCTACTGGTTCACTACAGATCAGTGTGGTCCAAGTCCACCCGTTTTCTATGTTTCCAAATCTTACTTTTATGGATTTGTGGGACTTCTTGGACAGAGGGTAGGTCCACCGCGAGACCTGTGCCTTCACACGACAGTAAAATCACAGTAAAGTTGAGGCATGCATCCATGCCCCGAGTGAGTTTCAAACTCACGATTACAGTGTTCGAACTGTGGATGACAGACATGGCCGCAAGCTCACTTTGATCGGTAAGACTTTCCCACACGGCTGCTACTCCTTAGAGGAACTGTTTGAAATTTGATTAACACGTCATAAACAGCAGTGAATTTTGATGAAGTGAAATAGTCCAGTTTGCTGTCACTAACAGTAGATGAATGAACCCACAGCCAATTAGTGCAACGAATCTAGGAGAAGAACAGTCTGTGTTGTGTTCACAGTTCACATGCGTTCTCCTTAAACATTCAAATTCATATGAAGCCATTAAGAAATTAAAACAAGATTGCATTCATGAAGAATTTAAAAGCAGATTGAATTAGGGGGATTTATGCTTCCATTAATTTCAGAATTATTTATAGAGATACTGGGTTTTCGGACTAGTCCATCTTCTGGATTCTAAATAACGTTCTTCCTCGGACCAAGGCCGAAAACCCAGAAACTCTGTGTGTTATACACCATCGTCAGAGCCCTATGGTATCTACTAGAATTATTTTTCATCCTCTCTGCTGTCTATAAAAGTAAAAATTAAAATATACGAAAATACAATTCCATCTGCTATTTTGTGTGGGTGTGAAACTTGGCCCCTGATATTAAAGTGAGTGCATGGACTGAGGATGTTTGATAACGAAATCGCGAAATATCTACATAATTTTATTCTGGCCAAATATTATTGTCAAGTAAAAGTGAATGAAACGACATGAGCCTGTTTTACATATGGGAGAGAAGGAAAGTGCATACAAAACTTTGATTCCATAACATTCTCAAAAGTATACAGAGTGTAGTACTTCTACACCAATTTGTTTGCTAAACTGCAAAAAGTTCTTGACCAAGGGACTGGCCATTGTGAGTGAGGTTTTTCGTCACATCCTTCGCTCTTTCTCGTTAAGTGTATAATAGTGATTTAAAACAGGCCACGTCCCTACCTAATCCATCCCTTATAAAGCCACCCCACCATTCGGCGCTATATATTATGCACAGTTCAAAAAGCGCATTAGAATTTCTCAGGAACCATCCGTGCCGCAGATAGGATTACAGCCAGCCATCGACGTCCGCTCGACCCAGTGCCACGCGCCTTGCTGTCTACATCGCTGTGTTTGTTTCAGTCGTGTGTACAGACATGCTCGGCGGGCTGACCGCATTGCTGGAAGCGCTTACTGATCGCAGCACAACGGCCCTGATTGGCTCGGTGGATCCCGTGCTGTGCGAGACGGTGGCGAAACTGGCAACCCACAGGACCAAGTCCTTCATTACCTGGAGCTGTCCGCAGGTAAACATATTTGTAGTGACGTGTACTGCCGCAGGGGAAATTGAACTATACTCAACGTCGTGACCTCTGGCTAAAATTCTTGGAATTACACGAAGAAAACTACTTTTCAATTTCAGACTTTAATTATTAAGAGTCAGAAACACATTTTCGAGTGGGTAATATTCTTGCTTTTTATTCCGGAGTTCTCGGGATCAAATCCGGCTCGGAGATCGCTTATTCAGACTGATCATCATCGCAAATAATTATAAACTTTGTATGATTATTATATATCTTCGTGTAGTCCATCGAAAGTCAATCAGGAAGCAAACAGAGCCCTGATAATTTCTTCATGCTGGTTTCTTGCTTGGCTTATTCTTCAACACTGAAGATGGAGTGATAGGCTCTTACGAAACATCGGTTGACTTTCTTACATTAGAATGATTAACATTTTACGCTGAGACTGATAACACGCCGATGCAGAATTTTGAGAACATTTCGTAAACTTCTATAAAGGCATTTTAGGTAATATAATATACAAAATAAATAGGACAATAAATTATGTAACTGATGATTTATAATAAAGCATGCAATGGCCTGTTTATTTTTGAAAAAATAAAGAACACGTCGCACGTTTTTCACATAACTTCTTGCTTGAATTCCTTTAAGGGAGGAAGTTTAAGGATAAACAGATACTTTTTAACTGAGGTGGGTCCCGCAGGCTCAGGATTGTTCGAGAAATATCTCAAAGAGATAAGGAAAAATTGGTTCCTTTGAAGCACGTCTAGCCAGGATTGCTCGGCACTAAGCTTGGTTAATGGTAGTCTGTCAGTGTCTTTGTTCTCTTCATAATTCCAGCCGTGTATTGGTTGCTTAGAAATTCTAGACATTTTACATATTCAATGTATAGTTGAAAATAAAATGGAATGGAATAATTCCGAAGTATTATTGGATTTCTGAGACTAAAACGCTCGATTTGGAATGTCAAAAATCTACAGAGACTTTGAATAAAAATACATCACGACACACACCCCCTCTGTCATTATGAAATTATGCATCATCTCTGGTCTAGACATGTTCTTGGATTTTCCTGTCTTATGTGTTCCGCCTCCGCGTACTTCATAACAACCGACAATATTTTTCTTCCTTCCATCTGTGTTACATAATATTGAACCATTTTCACCACCTTCCCAGTTTACGTTGTCTGAGTGCTTCGCAATAGCAACCGGTTTTATTGAGCAAAGGCGATCTATTTCCAATGAAGTTTCGTGGCGTGGCAACCATTGAATATACGTTCAGTATTCACAGTCCCGCGCTATTACGTTGCTTGGTAGTCTTCCCATGCATCAAGCCAGTAATACTATATGGCCCCAATACTATAAATAGAACACTGGTCATTAGAAACATATTGAAGAGGTGTCGCAATTTCCTTTTTTATAAATAGAATGTACATCGTTCTGTATATATATAAGACTCTTATATTAAGTAATTAATCAATTTCGTTATTTCAGCATAATTTATTTTGTGAAGAACTTGGATTTTAGGAGCGTTTCTCATATTTTTTAAATATTCTCTTGTAATTATGAAAAGTTTTCTTCGTCTACCTGGGAGGTTCCAAGATCCATCCACTCGCCATTCCCGTGTTTCTCAGAGATCTCTCATTCTAGTTCCAAATTTTCATATTCGTTCCTTGAAAATGTCTTACATATTTTCTAACCACGCCGCTTTTGTCTCAGCCTTTCATGTTTTCAGTTGCGTGTAGGTTGAATTCGTTGTTTCAAATTCGTCTTCGGTCATATACCCATACAATCGCAACATTTTTTCCAGCACGCCACCTAATGTATTCATTTACTCTGAATCTCATCCGATTCGTCTAATTAGTCCTAAGCTTCTACTCTAAATCTTATTGTGTGCTGATTTCAATACGGCTCCTTCTCTTTGATTTAGTGTCAGGAGTTTTGCCCCGAAACTTAATACAACTGCACACCTTTAATTTACGTACCCTATAAAATGCGTTTAGGTAGCGCGCTCTGTTTTTCACTCCCTTCCGCTTCGTTCTAGGTACTGTTGCTAGAATCTGTTAGAATCTTACAATAAAGAAACCCATCTTTGTCCACTACTTCAATGCATAAGAAGATTGCTATACTTGTCTCTATGCTGAAAAAATACTAAATTTGTCAATGGGAATATGTATATTCATAAGATAGCCGAAAGAAATAAGCAATTTCGTGACCTCAGTACAGTTTATTTTAAGTGAAACTTGGTCTTTTACCCAGATTAGGATATACGCGTATACATAGAGGTAAATTTGTCCCTGTCCTTAACTAATTAAGCACTACGCCATGAAGGCCTGTTCGGGAGTGGATGTATAGATACATGTTTTCTTGACCTCGGCACTAGTTGGAGGTGAGTGGCCAGCTTCACACCCCGGCCGCTTTACCCCCGGGGAAAATGCTCCCGGTACCCATTGGATAGGAGGCTCGGTGGGTCCCATGGCCGGTCTGGCTGACGTGGAGAAGAGAAAATATTTGACCCTACCGGGACGAACTCAGAACCCTCCGTTGTCCAACCCGTAGCCAGTCGCTATACCGACTACACTATTCCATTTCCAAGAAGCAGTTTTCGTCATTTTATGTGCGTAGGTTTTTACAAACCTGCATAGATAGAAGCTCTAGATAGCTGGAAACTGAATATGTAATTTAGTTCCCTGTTTTAACATACAACATTTGTATATGAGGTGGATATATGAAAGGGTGTGCAGGATGAAGATACATAGAAATAATTTCCCGATGAATTTCAGTGATCTTCACGGCAATAAAAGCAAAAATGTACATTTGTCACTTTGCTTAACTGATTGAGCACCACGCCATGAAGTCGTATGGGGGAGAGGATGCATATATCCACTATTTGGAGTTGAGTGGACAGCTTCGCGCTCCAGCTGCTTTATCTCTGGGGAAAAGCGCCCAGTGTCCATTGGACAGGAAGCTGGGTGGGCCCCAAAGTTGGTCTGGATGACGTGAAGAAAAGAAAAATCTTGCAACAATCGGGACTCGAAATCCAAACCCTCGGCCATCCAGCCCGTAGCCAGTCGCTATACCGACTGTGCTATCCCTGCTCCTAATACAATAATAAATAAATTATTAAATAAATATTATCTGCATTCTCCTATTCCATATAATCCCATGTATAATCTTCGTTATTGCTCGAAAGTGCTAAATTAATTTCCTAATACATAACAATGCCGGTCACTGTAGCCGAGCGGCCTAAGGAATGCACTGTCTTCGCTCGCTTGGAAGCCGGAATCGTCGATTCGAGTCCCACTCAGGGCATGGATGCTTGGTGTTTGTGTGTGTATGTGCGTTTTTCTGTGTTTGTGTACAGGTAGAGAGGCCTTGCGACGAGCTGATCACCCGCCCAAGGAGTCCTACCGAATGAATATGATCTAGTAAACAGAAGTGAAACGGAGAGTTTCATGGTGGTAGGCCAAGGCCCGAATTGGGGCTGTAGCGCCAAAGGGGAAAAAAATACGTAACAATTATTCTGCACACCAGTTTCTCTTTACTGCTAGTGGGGTGGGACTAAGTCCCTTGCACTGCGGCCACTTCTGGCCTATTGTACCAGCCCTAGATGATAGGTGAGGGTGATTGTGGAGTAATTGGTAGAATGAAGAGTGGCAAGGGAAACCGAAGTACTCGGAGGACACCTGCCCCAATGCCACTTTTTTTTTCCTTATCACTACAGCCCCAGTGGGCCTAGGCTTATCTCCATGAACTCCCTTCACTTCGGTTTTTCTAGATCTTACACATTCGGTAGGACTCCTTGGGCGAGTGATCAGCTCGTCACAAGGCCTCTACCTATAGACAAACACAAAAAGACGCACACAAAATCCATGCGCTGAGTGAGATTCGAACCCACGATCCCGGCTTCCGAGCGAGCGAAGACAGTGCGTGCCTTAGACCGCTCGGCTACCGTGACCTGCTCCAATGCCACTTTATCCACCACAAATCCCACTTGACCAAACCCGGGATCGAACCCGGGCTGCCGCGGTGGGAAGCCAGCGACTAACCGCTTGAGCTATGGTGCGGCCCTTTAAACCAGTTACTTATCTTCAAGAAGAGCTGAATGGGAGAGGCATTCAGCACGAATGTGGGACTTGGAAATGCGTACAAAATATCTGTTTAAATTTTCAGGAAATGGGAATATATAGGAGCGTAACTCTCAGATTACATTAAAAAAATCTTAAAGCAACAGGATATGAGGGGTTGGGCTGCGTTCAAATGATTCATTTTAAAGAATCCATGGCGGAATATTGTGAACGCTATAATGAAATTTAGGAGTCCATGAAAACAGTAGAGTCATCATTTCTAGAACTATCCTGCAAGAGGGACGTGACTAGTTAATTAGTATTATCTGTTCAAGGACCTAAGTATTTAATGTGTTGACCACGCTTTATACCGAAATTTCCCACATTTAATATCTGAGATACATTCTAGTAATTTCCGAAGGGCTGTTTGGTAGACAATAGTTTAACTTCAAGCTGCATATCCTTGCAAATAACATTGTTTTATTGTCGCTACGGGTTAGAAGGACCATGACTTAAAATAATATTCTTGAATTATTATACACAATACATATATCTAATATTTTATATCAAAAAGAGATTCTTAATGTAAGGGATGAGATTTTCTTTGCACTTCAATAACCTCTCTAAGTAAATTTGACCAATTCTAACTTCCACTTCGTAAGGACGAACAGGTCCCAAGGATATTGAATTCCCATTAGTACGCTCCAAGTTGACAACTTCCTTGTTGTGTCATACTCTAATGTTGGGCCTCTCATTTCTGAAATTACAGTTTCCTTTCTACCTTCCTTCTTTCGTATTAAATTTTAATGAACATTGAAGGGTACTTTAATTAAATTGAATTTTATTCCTTTACTCGCTGGTGAGCTGTCTACATTACCTACCGTTTCCGGGTCTTGGGTAGTGACTTTTTATAATATTGTGATTTAATTACAACTCTTAAAAGCGAAAATATTCTTGTACAAGTAATCTTATCACTCAATATTCATACCCTTGCAGCAATTTACGAACTTAAAAGCAATATTTTGTTCCATAACTAACCACCCACGTGCAGAAAATTATGCCTTGCGAAGCCGAAAGTTGACCAGTTGGTCAAGAAGTTTCCCACCTATTACGCGCACTAAAATTTCGTTGCCATATTCACGAAACACCGTCGCTAGACCCTAAATTTACCCATTTTAATTCAGTACAAACCTTACCAACCCCTTTCTTTAAAATGTCTTTTAACATTATCGTTCAACATACTGTCACGCAGCGTGAGTGGGCTGTGACTGTAGACGGGTTTTTGGACTGGATGTTGGATTTATGGACCACTTATACACACGACTCGTAAGTACAAGTAGTTACTGTACCACTGCTAATCTCCACTATTCACAAATCCCCACAGTACCTGCTAAGCTTTTTCCAGCCTCTTGTACATATATTCACAAGCCTTTCTGTGGCAACGGCTTCTAACAGTGGAGATTCTTCAGCTTCACACGATCAAGTCAACTCTTCACAGACTCCCGTACAGAACTATCGATAGACTTTGTCCCATGCTTATAACATCTCGGTACGGAACACGTAGAAACACAGCTCTTCTATTGTTGTATTTCAACTGTTGCATTATTAACAATCTGCTGCCTAGCAACGGGAAAGTGTCTACCGAGCCGTTGCCCAGAAATAGCCCTAGTATATACACCCATCTCGCGGTCGTTGCATAGCAACAGCTTTATGCGCTACAATGGAGTATGTGTCTCATTTGCTCTCTCCATTCATGATTCTCCAACTCAAATTGTGCTACATAAAATGAGCTCATATCTGAATATGTGCACAGCTTTAATTTGAAATGAGGTGAGATGTGTATACAACATTTTAGGCCGAAAGCCTGAAGGAAATGGAACGTTTTGCAGGATAATATAATTAAATTGGATCTTAGTAAAATGGGGTATGAATTTCAGGACTGGATTCAACTGGTTCGGGACAACTATTAGTAGCAGGCTAATGATATACTCTCTAGCCCTGTCAGCATTACATTTCAGATAAATTACAGTAGAACTTGGTTATAACGTCATCAAAGGGACCTAAAAATAGTGTCGTTATAAACGATTGTCGTTGTAACCGAAATGGGCACTTCCACAGTAGCCTTATGTTAGTCACGTAAAAATCTACCAAAAACCGAGTTAAAATGTTGCATTTTTTAGTGAAATACGTAGTTAAGTACAGACTAACGTAACATTAACGTGGAATTGCCCAAATGTGTAATATCAAAGACATATTACAGCGCTTTTCACTGACAATACACACCGCACTAATACTGTATATTAAAGGTAGGCCTACTCACCAAATTACAGTAGATTACATCAATTGTTGTGCCTTACTGTACCTAGATACGAGTACAGTAATCAGTTATCTTCATCTGTTTCCTGTTACTTGCCCAA